TTTTTTTTTTTTTTTTTTTTGCTCATTAATCTTTAGAATTTCTAAAGCTGTAACAAAATAAGTAATGGAATTTGTATGAATTCCTAAGTAACAGTTGAATTTTTCAACTTTTATGTTGAATTTTTTAAACTTTTCCCGTATGTTTTTTCTTACTCATTTTCTTCTCTTTTCTCACCAGGTAAATTGGATAAAAAATAAAAAAAATTGGGAAACACTTGAGAAAATAAAAAATAGCTAACGAATTAATAAATTTTGACAGTTGTTTGTGGTCGGCTAACGATCTCTGCAATGTGTTCCACAATCATATTCGACAATATTACTGCTGATATCAAAAAGCATAAAACTGTAATTAAGCAGTACAGTTATCGTGAAATAGCATCTGCACCTCTTCCCTTACCTTTATTGCTATTATTTGAAATATTTAGAAAAATTTTTTTGTATTTTTTATTTCTTAAAGCTCTAGTTATTCTTACAATATCTAATAATATCTCCTTTGCAATTCTTTATTTTTACATTATTTAAAGTTGATGCATAAAAAATAGATAAATTAGGTGAGTTGCGTTTGACAAGTTGTTAAATTAAGTTGGATTTAATAGAAAAAATGGTAATAATAATAATAATGTTACGTGTGAAAAAACAAGGTTTTTGTTTTATCACAATTTGTCAACCAAATGTAAGTTTTGATTAAATAAAAAAAACTACTTTTTCAGTTGAAGATATCGAGGAAGATCTTAATATTGACTTAGGAGAGGACGCAAATGAAGATACTGATACACCATATGAAAAAAAATCTAATCTTGGAGGCGCAGCTTCATCTCGAGGTACCTCGGCAGGTGCTACAGGTGGCGCAGCTGACGTAGATGTCGAAGACGGTACTGATTAGTCCTAATACTTTTTTCTTAAAAAAATAAGTGGAAAAAAAGAAAGCGAAATTAAGCTGTGCTTTTTTCATTTTTTTTACTTTTTGCTTAATGACGAATGTTGTTTTTAGTAGAGGATGAAGATGAAGAGGAAGAAGAACTTTTAGCAAAATTAAAAGCTAAAGCTGAAGAACGCACCAAAAAATACAAAAAAGAGAAAGAGGAAATACCGGCAGAAGCAAGTAGACCCGAAGAGAAACCATCTAAAGTACTGGTTTGGGTTGTGTGTCTAAGTAACAACAATCTTAAAATCTTCGAGAGAAAAAATTGATTTGAATGTAAACGAAAATTTTATCTGCTTCCGTTTTGCTAACTTCTAGGATGAAGAAGATACCGATAAAGAAGCAAAACAACGAGGAAAAAGGAAGAAAAAGAGTAATACTGAGGTAACTGAAGAACAACAACCTGAGGTTGATGGTGAAAAAGAACCCAAAGAAAAATCTGAGCAGATTGAAAAGAAACAGTTAAAGGTAAACACTAGTTTTCAAAGCTAACATTTTCTTTTATGTTCCTGTTGATGTACTAAAAGTACAGATGATATTACATACGGTAAGGCAACCAGAAAAATGGGATGTAATTTTTTGTTAAGGTACATATTGTAGGATAATGTATCGGATCTGATCTACATACAAGTAGCACACGACTTTGCGTAACAGTAATTTCAAAAGCACTATTTTCAACTTTTGTCTCTTCTTTTTCCTCTTAACGGTTCGGCTAACACTCAACAGTTGAAAACTGGAGTAGTGGAGTTTTAGCTGTGAAATATGTTGTCGCCCGGGACAAATATTTCTGCCACTTGAGTTGTTCATATCAACAACACTGCGGCCTTTATTCGTGAACTGGTTGCAAACTATCACTCTCAGCCATTGCAAAATCATCAACAATGTTTGTAACAGTTATATGAGAAAAATGAAGGGACCGTTAAATCAATTAAAAGAATTTTCAGCCATTAATCTTGCTAATAAAAATCCTGTGTCATCGTTTTATATCACTAATCTAATATTTTTAGACTTATTTTCGATATCTTTTTGAAATTTTTGCAGCTTTCCTCACTCCCAACTATCTTTTTAGATAAACTTTTCCAACAATCGTAAGCTTTAAGAAATTTCATCTACAGAACAATTATTGTAGTAAATTGAAAAACTAGTTTTTGGACTACGATCTACACGTAGAA